CAAGAGCTTGGGATCTGCTGCTTTCCGCTTCACCCCTCAATGGGGAATCCTTGGTGTATGACTCACTGAAAACACTTCCTCCTGAACAACACAAACAGGCCTGGAGGCTAGCAGCTAGAGCAGGTACCAATGTACGCAACAACACCAGCAAATACATGCACATACATCAAATTCAGAGAGTTTGCATCAGTTTATCCTGTGGGCGATGACGGGAAGCAGTGGGGATGGATGGGAGGTTTAAAAAGAAAGTAATTATTATTCAAGCTGCATTAAGATTTGGCAGCAGAGGTTGGAATAGCTTGGTTTATATGATACTGGGGGTGTCTCAGGGGGTATGGTAGGAAAGACCTAATAAAAAAAACACACACACATACACAAAAGGAGATGAAGGTTTTAGCTGTATTGATGGGTAAATAATCTGGTGGTTTTGTAAACTCCTGAACAGACACATTTTTTCTTGCAGTGTCTTGGAAAAAAAATTCATACTCCTTGACCTGAAGCTAAACATATAGTGTATCTGCATAGACTTCTTTTAGTTAACAGTTACTGAAACTGCCTTTTGTTGTGTAATGTCTTCACAATATGTCTACAAACTAAAATGAATACCCATTCTTTGGAAAATAATCAAAGCCTAGATAATTGATAGCAGATTGTCTTTAAAACTGCATTCTCAAAGTTATCAGGTTAAGTTCTGGACCTTGACTCTTACAAGAAAATGTTGCGATCTGCTGCAGCTCTAGATCCTTTCTTTAAAATTGTTGTCCTGCTAGAAGATTAATCTCTTATCCAGACCTGTGTTTTGCAGTCACTTCCATGAATGACCTGTATGTCGCTACATCCATTTTTCAATTAGCTTTACGCAATGTCCTTGTCCCTGCACTCCACTGCAAAGCATAATACTGCAATTGTGTTTCACAATAGGGGGAGCATGATAAAAAGAGTTGGCTTGATTTGACCCTACAACAGGGTAACAGAATAAATAGAGTGGAACAAAAATGTTCACAGGCTTTTCTGATTATAAAGTGTATAAGAAAAAGTGGCATCTTTTTTAAACCACTCTCCAATACTGCAATACTTTGTGTACATCTAAATTACTGAAACCCAACTAAGTGCATTGAAGTTTGCAGTTGTAGTGTTTCACAAAGTTTGAGTGGTAAATAAATACTTTTGAAGGGCACTCTAGAATTGGAATGCCTCTAATTAAATAGCTCAAGTTTATTTTGGCACATAAATATGTGATTAATATTTCTAGTTTTGAATAACTTTAATGAATTTTCAAATTCTTATATAAAGTGTATTTTTTCTTGAAATACTCATGGATATTTTAGACTTCTTCATTCAACCACTAATTGTTAATGGTCCAATTTTGTAAATTTTTATGGAATTTTTTTTCTTACTTCAAATTGGAGCATTTAACAAAATGCAAGCATTTACGATTTATAGTCGCCCCATTTGAGCTAATGGGCTTTTAAGTTGCCTGTGATCTTGTTCTGACTCAACCTAGATGATTTTCACTGCAAAGGATTTTTCACACAAGTTGGAATAAGACTGAATCCGTCTGTTGCTCTTTAGGATTTGTGGAGCATTTTGGAAGGTGTTTATTGGAGTCAATTTCGGAAAGTGAGCAGCCATTCTGACTTTCGATGGCAGCAGCAGTAATGGCTGTCACCACTGTGGCAAAAGCAGTGATTGGTTTTTATGCCTTCCAAGGCGTTTGGCTGCACTCGAATGCGTGTGTCTCTTTGAGCGTAATGGTAACTGTCTGAGAGGAATAATCATTGTGGTGCAAACTTTCAAAGACTCATTTAGTCATGAACTTTTCCAGCAGAAAATAAGACTGAAGTCAGAGAGAAAATTTATAATTTTGAGGTATTTTTTCTAAATAATTTTCATTGTGTTACCCTCACTTTAAATTACAGAAATAATTCTGTGAAACTATATCAAATAGGATTTATTTGATATAAAATACCTAAATTAAGGCTGGATTTGCGGCATTATCTTGAGCCCATATGCTCTGCCCTTTTCCATGCTCATATGTAGCTTCCATTACTGAACGTGTGTGCACATGTGTGTTTGGAGTGTGTTAGTAAGTCCGTAATGGGCTTTTTAACTCCAAGCAGTAGGTCATTAAAATTTAGATAAAAGCAGTCTAAGTAGCAAACAGATAACTGCTCTTCTGATCTCTCACTCAAATGAGAGGACTCCGAACACAAACTGCTAGAATATCAATAGCAAGGCAAAGTGGGGAGGTTCCCACTGGAGCAGAACTCCACACTGGCTAATGTGTTTAGCAGATATCAAGGATAGAGGTACACAAAACTGAATATTGAGGGGGGGAAACACAACAGAAGGAAACAGGGCTGAGGCAAGAAGTGTGGGTGAAAGACAGGAAACACAACCTAGAAGGGGGTCATAGGGCTCAGACAGGAGGGCATATATGTATGAATTTTCTTCTTCAGGGACTCCCCCATCCTCCATCCATGACTAAGTAAATCCAGGAGGAAGGAGACCCCCATATTACCAACATTCAGTCCCTTCCTTAACCACAGAGTCTTTACAGTTAATCTTTTAAACAGAACATATCAAATTTTTATAGTTTTTTTTTTTTTCATTTTTCTCTTTAAACTTTAAACAAGTAAGATCAAAAAATATTAAACACATTATTTTATATTGTGTCCATCCACTGTTCTTCTAGATATCAGGCATCAGCAATTGACTAGTATGAAATGTAATTCAGACGAAAACAAAGCCCCTAATTTTACTGAATACTGCTATAAAATATTAATATGAAATAGTAAAGTATAGGGTTGAAATAAATAATCGGATTAATTGTGATTAAATGATCATTGAAATAAACAACAACAAATGTAGTAATCGATTAATGTCTAACTGGAGTATAGAGACTCTAAAACATGTCTTTAGCTAACAGAGCGACCAACTTAGAGCAGTAATTATACCAAAATTGTAAAAAGAAATACCGTACTATGTAAACGTTTGACATTTAAGATAAAAAAAAAAAACGTTTTGGTCTGTTAATGTGCTCTAACCATAACAAGTGGAAAAGTTTTTGTTTCCCCTGACTTAATTCCGTAAAAAAGTTTACTTAAGGAACATTTGTTGTCTTTATATCAATTCATTAATTGAAAAAATAATGGACAAATTCATCGATTAGCAAAAATAATCATTAGTTGCGCCATAGTAAAATTGTGCTTTATGCCTACAGGTTTGCCAAAAAATACAATGTCTTTTTTTTGAAAAGGTGAGGAGATAACAGTAAAATCTGATGTATAAAAGATGGCCAAAAATGTGTTGCATTTATTTATTCTTCTATAGAGTTCAAATCTTTGTTTACAGATTCATGTTAGGCCTCTGTGCTGTTTGAAACTTTTTCTGCCTTCATTTCTTGTGCTCTAGGAAACATTTTATAATAGCAACAAATAGTGCCTGCCACATGTCCATTGACTTTCTCTCTTTTGATTCATTCTTGAACATCTTCTTGATCATGAAGTCACATCTGTCTCTCAGTGCAATGGATATATAAAAATTGCGCAATGTTTTTAATTCAACTTTGCATCCTCATTTCTCATTTTCAAGTTTAGGTTACCTTCTTTTATAAGGACAGTCTGCTTTTACCAGTTTTGAGTATTATTGTGACTTTTTAACTACATGTACAGTGTGAATAATTGTTTGAAAATCAGAGGGAGCATACAAGATAATCTCCAATATTTTATCTTTAGATTTTTGGTGGTGTAGTTTTTCTAAATTACTACAGACGAGGCACTCCTAGTGAAGGACATCTCCTTAATTGTGAATTAGTTTTTTGCAATTGCTTTGACTATCTGAGGAACACTTTGGTGATTTTCAGTGGTTTGGATAATATACAGTATATGCTACAAAACCAAATATATTTTACCCAGTTCTGTAGAAAGTGCCAAAGACAAGCACTAATTAAATCTAATTAAGCTTCAATAAACTACAGTATATGGCTGCGATGGACTGGCGACCTGTCCAGGGTGTACCCCGCCTATCGCCCGTAGACAGCTGGAGATAGGAACCAGCACCCCTCGCAAGCCCACTTGGGATTAAGCGTGTTAGGATGGATGGATGGATGGATGGATGGATGGATGGATGGATGGATGGATGGATGGATGGATGGATGGATGGATGGATGGATGGATGCATAAACAATATGGTTTCATTTGAGTGTTGCCTAAGGCAGGTATTGCTGGCATATCTTTAACATTAAACCATACCTTTAACTATTTAAAATGAATAAAAAGTTAAACTCAGTACGGCTTTTAGAGAGACAGCTGTGTATAAACGGTTTATTCATTTAAATTGTACATGAAAAAAAAAAGTTCCTAAATTATTATGATGACGTTACTTTGAGGAAAGTTTATTTGATAGTTCAAGCCTTTAAAGTTGAGATTATGGCAGTGAGTACATGTTTAATTCGATTATTTTGTGCTCAATCAAACAATTTTTCATGATCATCAGTCAATCATATGCAAACTTGGTTATTATTCCTTCTGCCGTTCCCTCCACCCACGGCATTGAGAAACCAGAGAAACAAAAGGACTCGCCTCTCTTAGGCAGTTGCAGCGACGAGCAACCATGGCAAGTGTGTGGCAAAATGAGTGAGAGGGTTAACTGTCAGGAGCAGGGCAGTAAGTAAAGACAGAACAGCAAGGCAGAAAGGAAAAGTGAGAAAAAGAGATATTGCACATGCCCTGGTCGTGATTCATTCCTTCACTTGTGGCGAGAACCAAAGAACAGGCAATGGAAACTTCAGCGAATGTAAATACGCTTTGGTTAAAAATATAGTGGTCTAATGCACACCACATGTTGCTTTCTGGCAAGTCTTACTCTATTTTGACGGGAAGAGGGAATAAAAAAAAACACAACTGGAAGTGAGAAGGGTAGAGACATTTAAAAGAGATATTAGGAAGGGAAATTAAAATGCAAGGAACACAGTCTGTGAAGGTTTGCATCCAGTTTACCCTGTGCCTTCTCCACGAACACCACCTTGGACTCGGGAAGGAAGTTGAGTCCGCCGAGCAGCATCATTTTGCCACCAGTGGCAGGATAGCTCTCCACACTCTGCTTCTCCACCAAGGGAAGCTCCTGAGCTGAACGCTGGGCTGCAGAAACACACACAAACTCACCTTTCAACACTGATTTTGAGTCCAAGTGAACAAACTTACTGATCACTATCTACTCTGAGAAGAGCATGACCAGGACAAGGCCTGTAAAACACCAGCTTTTCATTAAGAGAACCAGCTTATCAAATTTATTACAATGATATCATGACCTCTTGCTAAGAGGTTTTCAGCCAACTGCTGCTTTAAAAAAGGTGCAGAACGGCTCAGAATAATACGTTCATGCTCAGATCTTTGCTTCATTATTTCCATCAAGCAGCCAGTGGCCAACCACCTGTCTCTGTTTTCTTTAAAATGAAGCAAGCTGGGATCACCTCTAACCTCTGGAATACAATGAGATGATTCACAGCCAGATACTTAAAAAAACTGGATCTCTATTATCACTAAGATGTGGATTTAATTTATGAGTTTACTTTAAAACAAGTTTCCTAGAGAGCTAAAGGTCCCTTACTGTTCAGCCACGATAAACCAGCTCTGATTAACTTTGACGTTCTGTTAACGTCATCTCTGTCTAAACATCTTGACTTGATTACATTCTTGGGTGCCAATCACATCATAAGTATACACAGAAATGAATGTCAAAGAAACAGAAGTTTCTTATGATGGAATCATTCAAACGTGCCAAAACTGCGGCTGGAAAACGACCTTTGAGGAAAGTGTGCTAATGGGTTGCTTTTACCACATAACTTGGGCATTCATAAAATGTGAATTTGGTAAAAGTAACACGTGTTTGGCACCAGGAACAATACATCTTTTGCCTTTGTGAATTCCTTTGATTGTGTAAAACCTATTGGGTCCAGAGGTAGTGAATTAGTTCCAGTAGGTATTAAAATTGTGGCTTATTTTATTACATTGCAACAATAGATACCACTTTTTTCTTGAATGGAAAGATTTTGTGCTTGTCTCTATTTGTGTGTGTCCCAAACTTACAGCATTCGATGGGGTTTGAAGCAGCCTGCAGCGACACCGTCCTGCCATTGGGCTGGTTGATGTGCACACGGAACACCAACCTCACGCGAGTATTTTTCCGCCCAATGTCTGTTTCTCCTTTGCGCAGTTCAATGTCAGAATTGCGTAGCTTGAGGATTCCTGCACAGTCAATTCTATAAGGAAAGAAGGACAAGAATAAAAAGTTGATCAGTCATTAATTTATATATAATGCTGTCAGTATATAAACACAAGTCTATTGGTTTAGTTAGACTTAGACTAACTTTATTGTCTTTTTGCATACACAGAGTGTATAGAAAACGAAATTTTGATGCATAAAGCTTACAACATATTACATCTTTGCTTTGAAGGAGGACTTTCTGGTTCTGAACGAACACAAAGAAGAGGAGGTGGTTCTGAACGGACCCAGAGAGGAACAGGTTCTGTTTCTGAATGGACCCAGTGACGAAAAGGTTCTGGTTCTTAATTGACCCAGAGAGGAGGAGGTGTTTCTGAATGGACCCAGAAAGAAGGAGATTCTGGTTCTAAACAGACCTAGAGAGGAAGAGTTTCTGGTTCTGAATGGAACCAGAGAGCTGATGTTCTGGTTCTGAATAGGATTTCTTTTATGCGGAAGTTTTTTTATGTATCATTAAATTTATGGTAAATAACACTCTTAAAACTGTTTCTTTCAAAGTGTGCATTCAAAGTGTTACATTTTGTGTTACAATGACAAACTTCAACATACTTGATTTATCTTTTTTCTATTTTTTCTGGAACCGTTACTTTGCAGACCTACTTTTTTTTGCTAAAATTGGAACTGTAAATCAATGTAAGTCTACAAGGTTTCATTGAAATATCGCTACAGATAATCTTTATTTGATTGGGGTTTGGACTTTAACTCATAAATCTGCTTTGATTTAAAACTATCCCCTGTAGTTCTGGCTTTAAGGTTTTTATTCTGTTTGACTCCAGCCATCGCTCAAAAGAAAACGATCCCCACAGCATGATGCTGCCAATACCATGTTTCACACTGAAAATTGCTTTCGAGTGAAATATACAGCTTATAGTTTTCCAAAATGCATAGCATTTTTTTGCTTGGGCCTAATTATCCTTTATACTCTTCTTTTGCTTCCATTATAGAATGATACACTACATGTGTTTTTCTATCACATCAAACTACAATCAAACAAAATATATTTGACTTTGAAATGATACTGCATGACTTAATAAACCCCCCATGCATTTTGCATAAGCAATTGTTTGATTGTGTTAACGCACTGAATACCATTTGGGCATAACTGTTTAAATATTGATTGATATTTTTATCCAATATAAACTCCTCGCATCATTGAGGAGGTGATTATCACAAGACATCAGTATCACAAAAAGATCCATCCGTCTCCAGGGCTACTTTGTCCTTTCAGGCTATTGAATTGGTTCATTCTGCATAGAAGCTGCTGTTAATCATTTCCACATGCAGCAGCAGACCATTGCCTAAGCTGTCTGTCTTTATTTATTTCATTTTACAATTTGGGAGGTAGAGAGCTAAAGTTTCTCTCCTTCCTTTTGGTCGGAAAGAAACGTTTTTTTGCAGGCATTTATAAATTGAAATACAACTAATGCGGCTGGTGAAAGGGAGGAAAAACAAATGGGATATGTTTTGGCATTTTATTTGTGTTACGTGGTAGGCTTTTGGGCAGTGCTGCTGGAACACGGCAAATGTCAAGTTTTAAACCATTCCTTGTTTTCTTTTTTCTTTGGTTTTGGTTTATTCAACACGAATGAGGGAAAACTGAAATCAGTCAAGGCAACCTCTCCTTATCAGTTTTGCATAATTTAGGAATCTGTCATGACCAGGTGAAATCAGCTATGGAAGCTATTCAGATGTCTGACCCTTACTTAAGAAAGCTTAAAATGGGGGTTAAATTTCAAATATGAATGAAAAACCTAAAGCACAGTCTTACAATTCTTGCACAAACTGTCTGCAATTGCGAAATTGTCTACTAGCTTATAATATTAAGTTATGGTAAAAGGTTACACCAAGTTCAGTTAGTTTTTCTGCACAAACTGACTTCTTTCAAGAGGAAAGGGGAGAAACTGAATATGTCAAAAACTACATTTTGCTACCTTCTGCATCCCACACAGCAAGCAAATTATCGCTGGCACGAGAGCAGATAGGCGAAGGCTGCCTTATCGAGTCAGCTGGTAAACATCTCAGTGGAAAGAGACAGTTAAAGGCCTTTCTTTAAGTTTGACTGTCAGGGGAAAACTGGGGAAACTTTAACTTCTTCGCTTTCAGTCTGAGTGTGAGCATTTAAAGAGCAAAAGAAAGTCAGAAGTCATGTTCTTATTGTTAAACAAACAAGAAGGGATGCATTTAGTCAAACCAATTATAAATGCATAGGATTATGTTCCCTCTCTTTGACATAATTGAGGGAACTAATATCATGGTGAAACAAAAAGAAACAATAAATAACTCTGTATTTTAAATCTCTAAAATGCTACCAATAAATATAGTGGGGAGCAAAATTCTGACCTTATTTAAGGTCTGATCTAGAGGGTTATCCCTAACACAGGGTTCTGGGAACAAGTCCAAAAAAGAACATTCCCTACTGCCCCATGAGAAAGGAGCGTCTGGAAAAGTGCTACTACCTGGACACAATGTGGAGTCCTGCTTTGACTTCCTCCCACATCTAAAAACATTCATGACTGGTTGTTTTGTGATTCCAAACTGTCCTCAGAAGAGTTTTCCTCTCACACAACTTATAATAATTAGAGTGCCCTTTAAGTACTGTAATTTGCAATCAAAAGACAGCTCCTTTTCAGATTTTCTGCTTCTATTTTACTGTGGTAGGGGGGCTTTAAGCTTGGTTAACTAAACTTAAAATTGTTTACCTGGCATCTTGTAACTAAATCATATCATATAATGAAATGTTTAGATCATGAAACTGGATAAGTGACTCTGTGTTACTGTGGCAAGCCATTATTTTGATATATGTAATACCGCACACCCATGTTCATTCCTAGCTGTCCAATCTCACAAACGAGCAGTATATGAGCTTAATAGATGGTTGTATTGTTTTTGACACACTTGTTACCAGGGTAGAAATGTTTTTGCACATTAATCTTGCCGTCATATTTTCATACAGTGACATTAACATAGTGGAAGGACTTCATCCAGGTGGGGGGATGTCTGTATTCTGACATTTGCAGCCCCTGTTTATACATGCCAGGTAGAATTAGTCAGCAATGGACAGTTTCAGCCTTAGCACCTGTTCACCTCATGGAGCTAAAGGACAGAGGACTTTTTAGTGTTGTGTAATGTTGTGTTTTTTCTGGCCATGTTTAAAAAAAATGTCAACAAAACAGTTGTGTTTTAAAGTGATGTTTACTTCAGTAAAACTCTGAAGATTAATTAACACATCTCAAATGACTCACATGGCTCTCATGTTGTTTTCTGGCAGCAGAGGGATCTCCAGAATCTTGGTGTTGGATTGCAAGACTTCATGGCTGGCGGTGGAGACGGTTTTGCCGGTGATCCGATGGACCTGGTAGAAGGCATGCGGTCGCAAAAGGCGATCATCTGCCGTCCCAATGAAAAGCTGCAGGGTGAGGGGCTCACTTTCCATGTAACCATAAAGCTGGAAGCAGAACAAAGAAGCTGAGGTGAGAGGAAGCACAACAAGACCCTTATCTGAGGCAGGTTCTCATTTAGGAAAGAGATTTAATCAGCACCAGGAACTAATAACTGACACATAGCTGAGGGGCTCTAATAAACAAATTGTTCATTACAGTTTTAGCCTCCCAAATCGTTTGAGATTATTTATAGAACTTGTAGTAATTGAGACTTTCTTGAATCTGTATGTTATTCTCCTCGGAATTAAAAATCAACAAATTCTTATTATTGTCTTTTTATTTTATATTTTTATGCTGTATTTTATTCTATTATTGTGTTTTATTATTTTTAGCTATGTTGATCACTTTGCTTTTAGCTGTAGCTGTTTTAAAGCGCAATACAAATAAAGATGAAGATGAAATACTGAAAAAGATGAACATTTTCAGGATTTTCACATAACCTTAAAATCTCCTAACTTTAAAACTTTACAAAAATTATGAAAATAAAGAAAATAAAAATAAAAAAAACAAGAAGGAAGCGGCCAGTTCTCTCTAGAACTGAAGTTCATCCTCAGATTAAGGTCAACCTGAATTTTCTTTAATTCTGCTTTTAACCAGTGTTGACTGAGTTATCATTGCTTTTGCATTACTCTTATTGGTTAAATCAAAATGAGTCAGTGGGATTTAGAAAGTATCCTGAGGTCCAACAAAGATGACTTGAAACGCAACAATGATATCACTAAAGAAGATTAAAAATAAAAACTACATTTACAAAAAAGAAACCAAAAAAAATTGTTGGGTTGATTTTTTCAACAAAGTTGCTGAATTTACGCTACTAGGATCGAAGTAGGGTTGATTTAAATAAACATTTGTTCAAAAATTATGGCTTAGCTTGTTGGCTTAGACATCAAGCTAGATCTGGCACTGAACTTCCTTATCAGATGTTACCTAAATATTTCTTATATCTGGGTAACGCTCTTCATCTCACTCTTGTGATAATAGATATTATTCACTCTGAACTATTCTTTGGTTAAAAAATATACCCAGTATGCTAGATCAAGCCTACGACTTAAAAATAAAAGATCTGAACCCCAGATTGCCTCACGTGACCAAGGATTAGGTTTGGAAACTAACCAAAAGTATCTCCTTTTTAATTCAGCCACTGTTAAAGAGTGAATTGTGAACTAAAAAAATCCCTCCATGGAGAACAACATAATCCCGCCCCCTAGGCCTTGGGGCAGTTATGAACTTGCATTGTGATTTCCATTAAAGTTTAGAGACTGTGTCCCACTGTGATGAAAGAGACTAGTGTATCAGTATCACAACTTCAAACAACTACCGCTTTCTTTTGTATTCCTCTATTAGCTGCTGCTGCTCAGCCAATAAAAAGATCAAATATTTGTGAAAAGTTGGAGAGACCCTCCTTGGCCATGCACAGTTTGGAATTGCATTTCATGCATAAACTGATTTATTATCTCAACATAAAAGCAACAATTAATCAAACTATTTTGACAAAAAAATAGATAAATACCTGAATATGGACACAGTATCTCAAAATGTAAGGGGTGACTCAAAACTATTACATTTCCAAGTAATATTTGACTGAGACATTTTACTATCCTATGATTTCATTTGGAGTCAAAGACATAGACCTCCAACGACATACATTTGTTAAACTACAGCATTCTCAAATGGTAATAAGAAGAAAAGATTTGTGCGTCTAAGAATTGCTGTAAAGGTCTAGAATTCATCTTGTACAATTTACCCAAAACAAATCACAGTTCTGCCTCTCTCCTTATGAACCTCCATTGATCCACCCAGGTGGCCTCTTGACCGCTTTAAAAATCTGCTCCAGTAGATCAGTTACAGAAAACCAGGGCTCCCAAAAACTGGGGCTCTTTGACAAAATCCCACAAATTGGTCAATTACCCAAGCACACACCAGCACACTGCCTCAGACAAATTTTCTCTGAGCTCCATCCGAGTGAAAACAGCAGCAACGTCCAACGGAATAAAAAGACCCTACTTGTTTATCTATTGCACTGAGTCATATAGACAAATGCAGACCACATGTAACCTATGACATAATCTGAATAATTGGTTTATAATTACCTCTGAGAGAGCAGGCAGGCACGTGGGTGTGAGGAAGACTGAGGCGACTGGAGAGCTGTCACTTTTTGGTCTTTGAAAAATTGGGGCTACAATTTCATGGACCTGTAATACCTCTGGTTCAAGAACAAATTTGTCTGCGGAAGAAACTTGCCCTGACACAAAGATTAAATGTGTGCTGTCTTTAGTTAATGAGATAGCTTTCGGATAAAGGAAAAGTGAGAGCATGCACCCGTTCCCTTACCAAGTTTCCGAATTAATCACCTTGAATAAAAATAGGGTATGAGCCATTCATAGCAAGTATATATCCATATGTCAGTGATCTAAGTACCAGTTCTTATCTGAGTATCCTCTCTGATTCACGTATGAAGAAATCATATAGACAGTGGTAAAGTTGAAGCTGTCAATCATCTACACTCCCTATTTCTCTTCAGTCGTCGGTAGTGTCTCTAGCAGCTGTCTCGACCTGTTAGCTAGTCACACATGCTAGTCATCAGTGAGTTAAGCAGAGGTTGGGGGCTTCTTGAAGTCTTGGCATCCCAAGGGGCCACTTCATCTGCTCCGTGATCTCACCGACAGGCCCTGTTCCCCTTGTTATATTTTACTTATAGTGTCACTTGCAGTGATTATGTATATGCACACATGCTACCAGTTACTGGTGCACCGACTGCTGGAAGGGCGACAGCAATGATCAAGATACAAATCTGAATCACTGAAGCAGTTAATTGCATGACGTTGGGTTTTTGGATTAATAAGACACAGGCAGCTAGACTGCAAGGCTTTGTTTTTTGTCACATTTTTTTGTGACCTTAAGCCTTTACCTCGGCTGCCAGATGACTACAGGGTGGGCTTCAAGGAAAGGCAGGACAGTAGGATTGGTGGGAATGGAATGGGGTGGAGAACTTGTCTTTTTACTCATTTTGTGGTTACACACAGTGATTCAGGTATGAGGACTTAAAACCTCATGGGGGAGAGGAAGTGATTAATGAGGTCAGGTAATCCTCTTGGTGACGTTAGCCTACCCGGCAGCAAGAAAAGGCGGTCTAGTCCCCCTGGGTGACCACTTTCAATCGTTTTTCCATATGTGCTCCCATTGACCCTCTACTCACAGTCCTGCCTTGGCTTCTTCTGAACTCCTCTGATACTCAGTTGACTGCACATCACAAGCAGACTACTTCATTACGTTTAAGAATGAAATAAAATCAAGTTAGCAGCCAGTGAGACAAGTTGTGTATTTTTGTCCCCTAGTGACTGTTTTTGCTTTAACTGCAGCCTATCTGCATCTGCATGGCTTATTTATTTTTTTGAAAAGTTAAAGTTTAAAGAGTATCTACGTTACACAAAGTATCTGAAGGCCATTTTACCCAAAGTATCAGATAGAAAACATACAAACAAAATACTCCAAGAAATCTTTTCAAATTTGGTTTTGTTAAAACCCCCAATTTTAATGTATGACAACTTTGGGGATTCTGGAATTTCAGCGAAACCTTAGTCTAATTTTTTCTTCTGAATTGTATTATATGTAACTCTATCTTAACTTCCTATTAACTTTATCTAGTTTTCATCTGATGCTATTGAAAAATAAACCAGCAGAATGGGCCAGAATTAACAATACCTTCAGCTCTGCTGCAATCTTCTCTACCCTCATACTTTAAACTGCATCCACTACTATAGATTTTAAAATGCTTAAAATGTACTAATTTTGGTCTTATTTGACCATAAAAATTTGCCATGATCCCTATGTGGTATTTCGCCAAAAACTGAAGGGGAATTTCTTTGACTTTATATCAAAAATGTTTTTTCTTTATACTCTGCTCATGTATTAGATGAGTAGTGAGGGCGGCTGTTTGTACACTTCCTCTTTAGGAGTATAAGATTCAGGGTAACTGAAATATGAAATAGCTGAACAACAACAAAAACTTTTTTCAAAGTATTGTGTATGTTTCCCTGTGATCCATCTTTTGGTCATCCCCTTTGAAAAAGAGATTGGGCACAAGACAAACAGTACACTTCAGCAGATGACGCCCTCATTTACTAACAGTAGACATATATATGTCAGTCAGGATAAAATAAACACTTTATAAAGCTTTTCAGAGTAGGCTATCCTTTAGTTTCCTTACTAACAGTGGCATCTAAAATGTCGCCTGCATCTGGCATGAATAGTGAAAATAAAAGATTTCAACATGTTAATTGTTCCGATTCAGTGCAAAATTAGTTATGTCTGTCCCGGCTGGAAATTGATTGTGAATACAGTTGAGAGGAGTGCATTACACTGCCGTCTCTACTTCAGCTATTCCTTTCATCACTGCCTCAAATGTCATGACTCGTAGAAGTCCACGTGGCACAGAGAGGAGTACTGGAAGTAGAAGGGGGTTGGGGAGTGGTACTGGGGAGAAATGCAGAAGTTGATTCAAGTTTTCTCCCATTATCCCAGTCTCTCGTCTGTCAAGTGCTGACACACACGCTGCCAGCCTTTGCTGTACCCAATTAAATATACACTCATCCAAGTTGTCTCTCCTTGCAGACTTTACACCATCACCCGCCTGGCTCACTCACATCTCCCATGCCCCATAATGAACACACAAAGCAACATATGCAATTCTTTAATGTGTTTCGTTCCCATGGATGCAAATACCACTCCTTTTGCTAGCTAACAAACTTCTATTGCTCTTAAGGTTTTTGTGGAACCGACTACTTAGTGTTATGTCATCGAGGGCAACATTTCAAGCAAAAGCCTGTGTCTAGACTACTGCGGGTCAAAATTCCCTATAAAAACAATGGTTTTGTTAACAGAAAAACCTGCCATGAGAAACATCATCTAAGTCTACCAAGGTTTTTATAAGGGAGATGATGCATTGATAATCACTCTCTCTCCTCTAACTGCCCAAAAAACACCAGGCTCTTGTGCTACGCATCAT